CCCATTTTACCTCAGCTGAAGAGGATCAGGCAAAAACGGAAAATCTCCTGAAGGGTCTTCAAAAAACCTCGTTCCAGAAGTGTTATCAGCAATGGCAGTACCGAATGCAGAAGTGTGTGAATGCTGAAAGGAACTGTTTTGAAGTTGATAAGGCCATGAAGAACTGATTCTGTAATTACAATGATTTACACCTTGTATTTCATTCACGGTTTTAAAGCTCCATTTGTTTACTTGACTTGAGTATCGGATTCGTGATGCTTTTGTAACTAATATAATAATGGATTTGTCAGTCGCCTATGATAAAAACTTATTCTTTAGTAACAAAGCGTTTCCTTCTTAAAATACTATTTTTCCATAACATACTCCTTATTCTCAAAAAGAAGGATGTTATGGTGCTTTTTAAGTATATTTCATCCAAATTACTTAGAATAGCCATCACATATTACAAGAAAGATTTTGTTGCAAAACAGTGCTAACTTTCATGTAAATCACAAGAAAGAGCTTAGATCCTCACGCGGTACGCGAGTTTTCATTTAGTTACCACTGTTTTAAGGCAGTGAAAGAATGCATTGATATCTGCAACTAAAACGGGTTTTTATCCCCATATGGGCTGGAAAATTTTAGTAGACTAGACAACTACTCCAGTAAAATGCAATTTCAATGCTTCATGTTCCCACTCTAAAAATGAATTTATTCTGAATAAGCATGCCAGCGATGAAGGAATTTAAGCAGTTCTTTGCCAATAAATTGACGACCAATAAAGCTGTTATCTGAGTAAACTGGTTCTACTAAAAATAGGAGAATATTTCTATCATTATCTATGGTCGAAAATTTCTCTTACAGCCCAACCCTCCCGGAGGTCCGATGGAGCTACTGGCTAGGATCCGTACTTAGGCAGTCTCAACTACGGGGGTATATAATCATTCTTCACAGGACTAGAACCTCCGTTCATTTGGAGGGAACGTAGTGGTACTGTCTTGTCTGCCCCTTGGTTGTGGGGTCGCAACATAGTTAAATATTGAGGCTTTCCTTGGGAGTTTGCCCTATTTGATCCGCTGATAGGGGAGTGACTGTGCGGACGGAACACTTAATCGAATTATTTGTTGCCACCCGAGTGGTACCCAGGAGAACAGATGTCTTCGTACTCTTTATTGTCTAATCGTTAGTTTTTCGTCAAATGTTATGTATATAGCCCGGAGGGGATCGTGGGGACTGTACCCACTTGAATGGTCTCCTGGAGATCGAGTGATAATCCTGAAAGGTTAAAGCCAGGGCAGCAGTTCGTCTCCAGTGTTCTGCTGCACATCAACCGTGTCTGCATTGATTACTTCATTTAAAAAAGCCAGAATGTCAAGTCTAAGATGTAGAAAATGATGCTCAAAGCCTTTTTTACGTTTCATTAACTTTTTTCTTTTCTTTGTAAAGATTTGTTATCCCTCCTTACGGTGTGCTTTTGCGGTGTAATTGAAGCACATCCAGTTAGGAAACGGAAGGTCCGGTGTTCCCATCCCGGAGGCGTAATGGCAAATCGCACATTGAGTTGATCAATGTTAACGAATTTCGCATCCTGCGCATGCTCAGTGGTTTACCGTTGGCATGGAAGGAAATACTGGCGATTAAGCATAAGCAACTCTACAAAAGCCTGCGCGTCATGTAGGTCTTATCGACTGTTTACAATTGCAATACTACCGAAACTTGTTTGTGCTTAATGCATTTACTTCTGTTTCATTTGATTTTGTTGTATTTTGTTCATAAACGTTATGTTTAGTATCGATTATTTATAATAATTTCCTTGACTTTAATTCAGTAATTTAAACTGGAATTATTCTTTTAATTTGTTAAAGTATATACGAATGGAACGTATGGTAAATACGCAACTGCTTATATTCCTCAGAAGTATAATCAATAAAGATTCAGCTAATATATCTTGTAATGTTCCCTCTGTTGTAATCATTCTTAAACGAAAATTTGCGTATCTTACAATCGATATTTACACTCTAAGTAATGAAGCAACTTACAACATAATAAGATTCAAAATCTCGAACTGTTTATGCCCAGATAACAGAATATCAACCACACACCATATTTATCTTCTTTTAAAATTATACGAAAGTCTAATTGCGCCAAATTCTCTTCTGGGCATACGCAGTACGCGAAATTAATTTAACATTGATCAACTGAATGTGCAGTTTGCCATTACGCATCCCGGAGAGGCATTGTATGTTTTTCATGTGTCCTGCTTTAGAAAAAAAGCTCTAACGTTCTACATCACGGAAATAAATCTACCAGCAACTTGAAAAATTGTGCAGATATATTTCTTGACCGCATCATTAGCACAAATCATCGCAAAATTGGACGCAGTGTACTGTGTAGGGACATTAGGATTTTTTAAAAGCAAGAGACATGAAAAATGAGCAAAGCCCTCGCCAGGGCTCGAACCACGGATCTCTCGAATACACGGCGAGTGTGCTGACCCCTACACCACGAAGAAAGAATGCTAAAAAAGCGGGAGAAATACCTTATATACTCCCCTTTTAAGGAGCGACTGGAGGTTAGGGGACCTATTCGTCAAGTCCTGGTAGTGGAGAATCATCCTCCACCACCGTTTTTAGTTTGGGCACCACTGTAGAGACATTAAGTTATCTCGAAGCAGGAGAGAGGAGAAATGACCAATGTCTTTCGCCGGGACTCGAACCACGGCACTCTCGAATATGCGCTGAGTGTGCAGACCACTACACCACGAAGGCATGCTAAGAAGGCGGGAGAAATACCTTATAACTGTTTCTAATAAATCAGTTTTTGAAATTACTCAACATCAGTGTTGAGAAGCTATAAGAAAAATGTATATCCGTAGTAAGAAAGAATAAATTTAAACAAGGAAACTTACATATACTTATTTCTTGCCACATATTACAGTTACAATTTTTGTGCCAGCATCAAATGTACAAAATATTAGCTTGAAGATAGAATAACTCTGACCACAATGGTAACTCTAAACTACCGCAATGTTTGGGTGAAAAAACAAGATTTTAAATTTGATAGCAGCGCCTTTAAAAACTTACACATGCTCATTTCTTGTCGCAAATTCCAGTTACAATTTTTGTGATAGCATTAAAGGTGCTATGTGTTAGCTCAAAGATAGAATAATTCTGAACACAAAGGGCTATTATTATGTTAGGGAGATAAAAGAATAAGATTTTAAATTTGATAACAGAGACTTTAAAAAGTGGGTCATAAACGTAGCGCTTAAAATTTTATATACAACACAAAACATGAGATGATAAATAGCGAGACATAATTAAAAACATGACTGCGTATCTGTAGAATGTTAGTAACCGTCGAGGTTGTTTAGAAATGGCTTAGCAATTTAAGTTGGTCGATTCTCCACACTGCTGCACAATATTTATTCAGAATATACGTGAAATTCGACTCTATATACAAAATCTAAAATGTCAATTAGGCGGGATATAATATTTAATATTAACGGAAATAACGCTTGTATAATATCTTGCTCTCTTGTGAATATAAGTGATACGATCAGTTAAAAGTGATAATGAATTTGTTGTAGTATTGTACAAGTGATTCATTACCACATTTGATCTTTAACTGCTGTGTAAAGTTCTTCAAAGTATATTATATCGAGTAGTAGCATATGAGATATGGAGACAAGGTATGAAAAGGCTACAGAGTAAATTCTCTTCCAGATTTGATCGAGAACACTCTTTGTAGAAAAATATAAAACAAAAGAGATGTTGTCAGTTTTGAAATTCTAGAGCAAAAATTTAGTGCTTGGACTTAAAATATTTTATCTGAAAGTCTTTAAACATTGGTGCTTGAGATTCCTCTGTTATTAGCTTTATTCTATGTCTTCTAGAAACATTAATGTTTCTACACTTTCAAATGTTTGAGATACACATAGGTTTTTAAATTTATACTTGCAGAATTTCAGGAGTGCTCAAAGTAGTCTTCTCCAGCATCAATACATTTCTGTAGGCTAATTTTCTAACGATTAAATGCCTCAAGCTTTTAATTTCTTGGAATCGAAGAAAGATATGCACTTATAGCCTCATCAGTAATCTCTTCGGAATTAAAACGACGTTCACGTAAGTTCCTTTTTAAATTAAAAATAGTCAAAAGTCACACATAGCTAGATCGTGTGAATAGATTGAATGCACTATCTCTGCTTTTGTCTAAGAAACTCAGTTGTCAGTCTTGCTAAATGAGAAGATGCATTGCCATGGGGAAGCATGAGTCCATGACTCTAACATTCACTTCTTGAAGAATTTCTGGAAGACAGTGGTGTAATAGTTAACTGTAACTATCATCTACCCTTCCAGCTTGATGGTTTTCACTGATTCTGACACGCTCTTTTTGGTGCTTAGTTAAATTACGATGAACACTACAGCAACCTAATTTTTCAAATGCAATACTTCATGAATAATTTAATGGGCGACAGATCCAATGTTAAGTTCCTTCTGCATCATTTGGTAGGTGCACGGTTATCATTGATTAACATTTTCCTTATGGCAGACACATTATCCGAGATTACTGCTGACAGTGGCCTTCCTGCGTGTTCCTTACCCTGAAAAGAGTTGCGACCTTTGTGAAATTCTGTAAACCATCTGAATCCAGTAACACTAGATGGACCTTAATTTCCAAAAAGATAATTGTAGTAGTTGAGTGCAATCTTCTTTATTTAATACCACTTTGAAATCATCGCGCAATAATGTTTCTCGTATCAACTTCATTTTTCTTGCTGCATAAAATTTATTACACGCAAATGACCAATAAAAAATTGTCATCTATGCTAAAATAGCTCATATTTCAAATCTAACCGTTTCTTATGTCCCTTATCATTTGCGAGTATCTAAAAAATTTCAGACTTTCGTATTTAAAGTCCATATATAAAGTTTATTATACAAAGTTTTTGTCAGGAATTTATTCATTCACAAAACTGTATATTTTCTTATTGATTAAATCAAAATGGAAAACATACTTACCATTCTAATGAAAATCCTGTAATGTTTTCCTGGTTCCAGGATATGTGGATCGAAAGATGGATCGAAGGGATCATGAATGGCAAGCATAGCTCCTGGTGCAATCATCTTTGTCACCATTTCATGAGATATCATATAAATCAAGTACCGGTCCATCAAAGTTCTTGTCTTTCGATTTGAAAGTATTCTGTCAGTCTTTAGATCTGTTGATTCTAATTTTAATAAAATTACAAAAATAAAAGCGAAATTACGAAACGTCTTTGCTATTAGCTAATGTACACGTAACAGGCTTAGAGCAAATAATCACATCATTATAAAGCAAAATCAATCTCTTACAACAAGAAAAAATTTTCTGTGGATGTAATTAAAGAAAAACATCACATACGTAAAATACCTCATGTATACTATTTCTCTTATGTTATACCTAATGTGCTGGGAAGAAGATCATTATCTGCTCCGTAATTGGTCCTGTAGCACGTTGCGTAATAGCGAACACTTTTGTATACCATAGTCAAATAAGCATCTTCCAAAAATTCTTTATGTCTGTAAAATAAGGAATAGAATTCTTTTAGAAAATATATTTATTCCAGAATTGGAAATTTAATAAATCGAGTCAAAATTATAGCCGCACGCTAAATTTAAGCGGAGAAATCTTAATCTTCATAAGAGATTCCATAGTAATCGAGCTATATAAGCCATACCTTAAAACTCGGGTAAAGAAATGGCTGGGTAATTGCAAAAGGTAAACAAAGTAATATTATAAGTTGTAATCAAATTAAAAATATATGTGCATAAATTTATATATGCTATGTGTAAATATTTAAGAAAAGATTGTCTGCGTTCAATTAAAAATATTAGAGTTATTTATTTTCCTTCTGAAGTAGAATCAACTTTTCAAAAAGATTATATCAATCGCATAAATTATTTTTCCGATTTATTTCGATGTACCTGTTTGGGGGAATATGGCACAGGATCGAGACTGTTCAAGATTGGTATCTTATCTGCTGACAGAACAGATGAAAGCAGGGTCGAGCTTTTACAAGTATCCCAAAATATACAAAGTGAATTAAATTTTATAGCTCTTCATTATGATTCGATCATAATTATAACCTTATCTAAGCTATAAAACTGTCTGTTGGATGCCGGCGCCATTAGTGTTCCGACACGTACCCTGTGCCTAGTCGTTTCTACACTCACGTCCAAATTTATCTTTACATACCTAAAAATAATGATAGTCCATGAAATACCCAACCGGTCTAATCCATTTTTCAGGAAATGTGTGAAAGACACTCCTATTTAGTATTAGCTGATTAAAAGAATTCAGACGGTTTCTGATATGCAAAACAAGTCAGTCAGTCATGTGTGGATGAACTAAAAGCTTCGTAGAAAATGAACAACTGAGAGAATTTCTGCGATATAGCCTTTGATTTCAATATGTAAGATTTATTATGACCCCAAAGTATCATTTTGAAGAAACTGGGAAGTGGCGAATCATCAGCCGTTTAGGGGCAGGGTGGATAATCACGGAAGCACTAAGATCTAGTGAATATTTCAACACGGACATTCTTTTCCCTACGGGAACAATTTTAAAGCTCTGTAACTTTGTAAGGAGGCCAGGACAATGTTGTAAACAACTAGCAATTGTTTCTCAAGATCGATTTCTGGTAATAATTGCGCATCGTAACAGAAAATATACTACCCAACAGTTAAGTTCAAAGCTTGCAGCCACCACTGCCACTGTTGTGTCACAGTAAACTATATACAGTAGCTTAATAAAAACGCCTTTATGCCAGGACGCCTTTATGTCTTCACAATAAAAGAGGGACTATTTTAATCGGAGTAAAGAGCATCAGAACTAGAGGTTACATATTTACTTCATTGATGAGTTTAGGTTTTGTCTGTCACGTTATTCTAAACTTATATACATCTAGAGGGAGTCAGAAAAGCAAAAGTTTACGTCCAACATTTATGGAGGGTTTGAGTGACGCAGGTGTGATCGTACGGGAAAGAATAATGATAGCTGGAGATATGCTTCATCACGTTTTGAACAGAGGATCTGTGACTGGCAAGAGATATTAGGATGGGGGTTTTTAGAATCCTATGTAGACGTTTTAGAGATACATATGGATTTGGCCTTTTATTTATATACGATAATGCTCGCGCACATCGAGCAAACCTCGTTGACGAATTCATTGAAATTGAATACATTGAGCGAGAACTGTAGCCAGCAAATCTCCTGATCTTTACCCGGTAGAGAACTATCTTGGGAAGCAGTTGCACTGATACGTCTTCTCCTAGATGATGTCCTAAAGATCGCATTCCTGGAAGAGTGGAACTTAAATCCCCAAACTGCGGTTAACAACGTTATGGACAAGATGAAAAGAGTTACATGTTGTCACAGTTCCCAAATAAAATCCCACTGAACGAAAAAGCCCGCCACAAAAGCCCACTAAAACAACCTCTCTGTGGTAGTTGCCCATGAGACAAATACTCCTACAGATGAAAAACGCACAAAAGCCCACAGTTTATCACTGTGAATGACGAAAGCCCACATGAATGAAAAGACACATGATTTTTATGAATATGTAATATATTTATGATTGTAATTATAATAAATGGAGTATTCAAGTGTGAGTTTTGATTTTTCAAAAATACGTCTTTGCATACTTTATTACTTATTTTATTTGTATATTTTAGTAAGTCGAAAACAATATTTTCTACTTTTCGGTTAAGTAGTTAGCTATTATGTTTCGATGACAAATCTAGAACATTTATTTATTGATTTATATATTTGTTTTCTTGTTTTCATCTATTTACTTATTTGTGCGTGTGAAAAAGACAAATATTATTGTTAAGCTCCTCAGAAGCTATTTTTAAGGTTATACGGCTAAGAATAATTATACGTATGTTTCAATAAAAAATTTGGAGGACATTGTTTAATCAAAAAACAGAATAAATTATTTTTATAGTTATAAAGGAATATTTTGAAGTCTCTTATTTCATGAACTACAATGTAGAGAATATGCTCGTAGTTACGCTAACTAAAAAAAAAAAAAAAGAATTCCCTTTATTTTATTCTTATTATTTTTAAATCAAATTAGATGCCAATATTAAAAAATGATGAAAGAAATAATTAATCGGCATTCACAAAAATTCCTCTCATTTTAGAAAAATTCTCTATTTATTTTATTTTAAAGAGAAATTCTCTATTTTTATTTCCTTTCTCAATGTCACATTGAAGAGACAAGCTAAAAGCTTGCGTGAAAGTGTAAATTAGCTTAAGTTTCGTCGCTTCAAACAATAATATATTTATTACTCCTCGAATACTTGTTTTAAACATGTAATTCCTGCTTGTGTAGTAATTTAAAAACTATTTGAATTATATAATCAGTGCCCGCCGCTTACTAAACTCACTGGTTAATAAACTTAGCCGCTTATTATGTCACATTTTCAGGAACCAAAAGAAATGTATACTAATCAACAGAATGCTCTTTATTGAACACATCCGCGATGTTTGTAAAACGCACGCTACGGACAAAGAATTACGCAATACTGTTTCCACTCTTATTAAAGAGTGTAACCCATGTGAAAAGCCACCTAGTACAGATTTAAAAACGAAAGTAATACTAAAAGATGGAACTCCAGTTTCTCACCGTCGGAGGAGAATTCCTTTTACTGACCAAAAAAATGTTGATGACCAAATTCAGTGGTGGTTCAGGGATGAGATTATAAAGCTGTCTTGTTCAGAATATGCTTCGTCAGTTGTTGTGTAGGAAGAAAATGGCAGATACGCATGGATTTTCGTGAATTAAGTAAAAAATAGTTAAGGATTTCCAAGTAAGTATATACACATATACCATACCTTCCCATACTTCCATAATTTTGTAGGAAAGATATGGCCTTCCCATATCTTTCCTACAAAATTTGCAAGATATATTTTGTACCATTCCTCCTGCACAGCTTGCCAAAGCCAAGGAGCTTTATAATTTGGACAACTCTACATTTTTAAATCTCCGAAAGCGCAAAAAATCTATTTATCAGGATATTGAGTAGGTATATGTGTATAGATTATGGCTTTGATACCCGTTTCATGTTCCATTTTTTCCACGAAATTAACGGTGCATTTTGATGTGCGCCTGCTTGCTTTTTTTTATGCAACTGTGTAGAGACATTAGGATTTTTTGAATGCAGGAGGCCTGAAAAATAAGCAATGCTCTCCCCGAAAATCGAACCATGGACTTTTCGAATACTCACCGAGCGTGCCACCACTACATTACTAAGGCACGCTAAAAAGGCGGGAGAAATACCTTATATATTCCACCTTTTAAAGAGCGACTGGAGATTAGGGTACCCAGTCGCCAAATCCTGGTGGTGGAGAATCGTCATCCACCACCGTTTTTAGTTCGGGCACCACTGTAGAGACGTTAGGAATTTTTGGAAACAGGAGACTTGAAAAATGAGCAATACTACTCCGAGAATCGAACCACGGACCTCTCAAGTACGCGTCGAGCGTGCAGACCACTACACCACCAAGGCACGCTAAGAAGAAAAATATAATACCTTATAACTGTACTGATTGATGGCACTATGGGTAAATACATGGTATTTCATATTTGACAGTTGGGTATAAAATAAGCTCCTGGATAATGTGTGAAATGGTTCTTAACATTTTTCTCCACTGTCTTCATTTTTAATATGACGTTATATAGAAAGGAGCAGCACTCATAAATCCGTTTGAAAAACTTTCTTTAGATTTTTTCGCTTATGTTTTAGGATTTTTGCCTCCTCTTTGATGATTTAAATACATCCGAGTTTTATCTATTGTGACAATACTTTTCCATTTTTGTCCGGATAAATGTTTGGATAAAACAGACGATATTTTATATTTTCAAAAATGTGTTTGCAGTTAAAAATATATTTTAAAGCAGGCAATTTGTTTTTTTATAGCAAAGCAAAACTACCTAAAAAATGTGCCAACAGCCTTTGTATTTCTGCACTCATTGGGCTTAGACATACACTTCCAATTATAGAAGTTTAAATACTTCTACAAATATTAATGATTTGGCAATTTCAAAATTTAAAAAAGCAATTTTTTATAAATAGCGAAATTTAGTTTTTAAAGCAGTCTTTGAATTCTTACACTTAGGTTTAGGAATGTTTTATACTCGTTATAAAAAAAAAAATATAAGAAGTGTCATTCACGTACCACAAAAATTCACCGAGATATTTAAATTTTTAATCTGCCTCGAGGAGTTGGTTAATTAAATTAGAGTAATTCAACGAAATTATTATTTAGTAAAAGGAAAGCCTGGCTTATTCATAGTTAAATGAATTCTGCCCCCAAAATTTATCGTGCATCAATTTTCAGTACACAGCAAGAAAGGTTTTACAGCAAAACATGCTACTAGTAAAAACTGCTTAATTTATTATTTACAAAAAATGTGTCACCTTTATAACACGTCGTCTTAAAGCAGATTTAATCCATATATAAGCAATAGATTTTATTTGAAATCCTGGCGAAGTTACCAAAAATACCAAACAGTTTTCATGTAAAAATTACAATATGGAGATATCATTTTCCAGTTAAATAATTAGTTCGGCACCTTAGTTAACGCTTGAGCAATATACTAACATTTCAGTCTCTAATATGTAATTATTTTCGGTACTTAAAACACAGTATTAATTTTAAAGCGAATTTAAAAGCTAAGAGGTAGGATATATTCCAGTTTCGTCACCGTTTATCAATATTTCATGTTTGTTATTTCCTATCTGTTTTTGTACTTTCCTGAGTTTAGTTATGAAGGATATATATAAAGCGATTGTTGCAATTAGTCCTATGCTTCATTATTATTACCGAAGTAATAATAATTTGATTTTAGTTAAACTACAATTGTACACTCAAAATATCACATTAAGAGCAAGGACGCATTCTTAATCACTGAAATTCTCTTAAAGAATGACTTACCGAGGCCCAAGGATGACGTCTGGCTTGTGATTCATTTGTATCAAATCTGCTTTATCAGTTGTTTTTAAATTTTTCGAAAACATATCCCGCAATACCTATGTGAGATATCGATGCAACAGCATACATTAATGTCGTATTAAAGCAATTAAAGTGTGCAGAAGAATAATGAAATACATCTTTCAGCATAAAAACAAACAAACAACACAAAAGTAAATGCAAACGTATGAAAGATGACATGATAAAAAGTTAATATAAAGTACTCGACATTCTACTGCAAGTGCATTTTCCGTAATAATACATTTTTCGTTAGGGCAACATTAAATCTCTAATAGTAAGCTTTATTTACATATAGTAAATTTCCGACTACTATAAATTTATCAAGCTTTCATTACATTTCCTTAGTATTTAATTTCCAATATATAATGCGTAAACGCAACATTGAGATTCTATTTTTCGTGCTATTCCAGAGTTTTTAACTGTTTACGGTCTTTTTAAACTAAGAAAACTGTGGATTGTGGCTACAACCTCGCATCACCGCTTCAACCGGAAACCCAGGCATCACCGCTTCAGAGGGAGAACTCCAGCCAATGTACTGCCTGTCTATGGTAAAAACAGCTCTCGCCAGTTTGTCTGCAGCTGTCTGTTGCCGTAGAAACGAGCCCTAACCCATTTTTCATAGGGGTGTCTTGAAGACTTACTTCTGAGTTTGCCACCTTGGCGCATTTAAAGATGATTTGGCGATATTCACATTTTGTTTTAGTTTCAAGTAAAATTATCATTGACCCTTTGCGTCGACCCCGACATCCAATTTCCGAAAATGAAAATTCGATGGCGTAGATAAAGCTTTTGCAATCAAGAAACGGTCTTTGATTTTGCCGTGTGAGGTACAAGTCGCTGAATTTTTATTGCCATCCCTCTAGATGTACAATGAGTAAAAATAAACTTGTAGGGAAATAAATTTAAAAATCCGTGTTTATTTTTGAAGAAAAATTTTAATTTTGACATTTAAAAAATCATGCTATTATTTTGCTTCTTTTTTGTTTATTTGTTTGCTTGCAAAATCATAGATGACATCTTAGAAATCTACTTGATTGCCCCATTTCTCTGTAATATAGTATAGACGCACTTCATAAATATAAAATAAATTTAAATTTTTATAGTTCTCCCCTCTAACTGATCTACCGTGAACATTCAAAGCAATTTCTTCGGTCTTTAAATGACGTTCTGCTATGTTTTTATTTCAAAATTTTCTGTTAATTTATTGCTTGTCCTTTAATAATGACTATAAATTTCATCATTAAATGTATATGGAATCATCTTGAAAGTAAAAGCGTTTTTTTACATACCCATGCTCTCAATAAATACTTTTTGCGAACATTTCTTCTTCTCCCATACCTTTAAACTAAACCAAAAGCTGGTTAATTTAATGGCGGAAGGAAGCGAAGGTGAATTAAAATCAAAACTGCTTTTTCCTTAATTACCAGTGGTTTGGGTTGGTTTATATGATTACGGAAAGCCCCCAGGGCTAAATGCCTAAGAGGAGGGATGCCTTCATGGAGGGCTTGCTAAGGGAAACTGGCTGTGCGCCCAAAACCGTATCATGTTGCCAACATTTCTTAAAAGCTAAATTGCTGTCAATCCATGTTTCATCGATGTAAACGATGTGGCGTTCACTTGCTCTGAGTTTTCTCATTTCGCGTAAATAATTGTTCCTCCAAAATACAATGTGAGGTCTTTCGATAAGAATTTTTTTTTTTTTTTCCTACGCATTCCAACGAAAATTCATTGAACACAAAACTTTGCACAAAGAGTCTTTTTGCCACGGGAAGTCTATTTTTTGCCTCAAGACAGGCAGTAATTTCCGCACAGATGGCACTTTCTTTTTTTTGTGTAAAAGTCTTGTATTGTCTGCCGTAGAACGCATTTGTCAAAATCGTCAATTTCACACTTATGATTAGCAGGGCTTTTACATTTCTTTCCAAGTGTATTCAGAAGTTTATTTTCACCCATTGTTGATACTTCGCTCTTCAAAACTTAAGGAAGAGGAACTACTAAAGAGTTCGCCGAAGCTTCAGAAGCGCAAAATTCTGCGACATTATACACGATTTGACGTGACTGAGACTTTAAAGGTTGACCTTTCTTAAACTGGAAGGGCATTTTAAAAAATTGGCGATTAACAAAGCACTACGAAAATCAAGCTAAATAGAAGCGAATTTGAGCAAATGCTAGCACAAAAGATATAACAACGAGAATAAAAAAAATAGCTAATAGTAATAATATAAGGCTTAAGAAAAGATGCGTGCAGCTGGAATGAAAGCCGAGAAGACGAATGATAAACTTCCCTTAAGCCAACAGTCGTCCAAAAACAAAATAACAATAAAGCAACCTTGGTTCGTCCCTATTTGAAATATACTAGCCCTGTTGCTATAGTGACCGCCACTCGCCAGACACCGTGGCGGGAGCTGTTCTTACCGTAGACAGACAGTATGTACATAGACATTCTTTGCTCCAGCTACTTGGAAACTCAATGCCGACAAAAGCAACCAGATGACTTCTGATTCGCCGACGGTGATCCGTGCTAAGATGCCGCAACCAATCAGAGACTCTGCGCAAAATGAACCTTTTCACCCGAGCATAGCCACGCCCACCAGTCAGCCCACGGCGGAGCTTCCTGCTGCTACAGCTACCCATTCCGAAAATATGGATATTACCCTTCCGAAAGATGACGAAACCTCTTCAAAAGTTGCAACTCCCAGCACGAAAGGAATTATAAATGAAGGAAGGCTACCTCCATTTACAATTAAAGACCCTCTATTCAATTGGAATCAAGCAAGAGCACTTCTCAAGAAGCACAACCTATACTCGGAAAGTACTACTTCGGACAACAAATACAGGGTGGATTTAAAATACATGTAAAGTTACCGTCTAGTTTCAAACAAGTGCAACAAATCCTTAAAGACACAAATGTGAGTTTTCATTGCTGTGAATTACCGGAAAAAAGAACTTGAAAGTAGTAATTAGACATTTACCTGCCTGTATCAAAGTTGATGAGATCTCTGAGGAATTAACTGCAAAAGGATTTGAAATTATAAGAGTGAACCAATTAAAACGTCAACGAAACGGTGACGTCGTTAACCTGCTATACTCTTTCTGATTACGCTTGCAAGAAAAGAGAAAAACAAACGAATATACCATGAAGCTTTTCTTCTAGGAATGAAAATTAAGGTAGAAGATTACAAAGGAAGAGCGGGACCCTTGCAGTGTTATCGCTGTCAAGGGTTTCACCGCTCACAAGCAAATTGTAATCATGAGCCACGCTGTGTTCGTTTAGCTGAAGCTTATGAAACTTTCCAATGCAAGAAAGATAAATCTGAGCCCCCAAAATGGGCTAACTGTTCGCAGCTCGGCCACACAGCCAATTTTAGAGGTTGTGAGAAATTTCCCAAGCAGAAAGCGGCTCCTTTTGCCTAAAAGTTTACAGAACGAATTGTGACTAATAAATCCTATGTGCAAGCATTATCTAGCGGATTTACTCCGGAATCCATGAAAATGATTAATGAGGCCAAACAAGTGTTTCAACAGCTCAATATGTTGGTTTTCTTTATCAAAGAGGCAGGGATTCCTCTTCTATGCAAGAAAATAACAGATGAATTTACAACTACATCTCAGGAACTTACTACGTGCCCCAGCATTCATGGATAAGTACGCTAAAACGCCGACTACTATACGCTTCGTAATCTGAAATGCCAATGGCCTCCATAACCGAATCAGCGAGATTCAAACATTTTGCATAGATCATTATATTGATGTAGGCATGATTACAGAGACTCACGCAAAACGATGCCATCGTCTAAAAATTCTAAATTATGTGGCATATAATTGTGATCGCACTACCCAAAGAGGAGGGGAAGTTATGATTTTTGTCAAACGAAGTTACCCATGTTGTCTTATTAATTCAAGCACGGATAATCACTGTGAAATTGTTACTGGGAAAATTATGTTGTGTTTGGTGACATTGACTTTTGTGCTGTGTACAACCCGCCTAAAAACAAAATTAGTGAAGCTTTTCTTGACTCTATCTTACCTGAGAACATTCCTACAATTGCAACAGGGGACTGGGCCCACCAGCGGCCGAGCGGTAAAGTCGCTGAACACTGGTAGTTCGGTCCGAGGTTCGATTCCCGCGAACGGGCTGGCTGCATGGGTGTTTTCGTGGTTTTCCCCATGTGTAACGTGTATACGAGCCAGTTTCCCTTAGAAAGTCCTCCACGAAGGCATCCCTCCCCTTAGGCAGATAGCCCTAGTGTGCTTTGCCATAATTAAATACACACACACACACATACACACACACACGCAACAGGGGACTTTAATTAAAAACATTTGTCTTGGAGCTGTAGAAGGGGTAATGCTAATGGAAAAGTTTTACACGATTATGTCATAAACCACCCTGTGGTCTTATATGCTCCTAGCGAGAATACGTACAGTCTGGATCCACTTGAGAGGTCAGACATTCTTAATATTGCTCTTTCGACTACTACAATTCGAGTTGCATTAGACGTGGTTCATGAATTAAATTCTGACCACCTACCTGTCATAGCAACTCTTGGAATTAACAAAGCCTCTACTAGCAAGACTAGAACTTACACTGACTGGCAGCTATTTGAGAGAACGAAAGATTGGACTTTCACCCAAAGTAACTTAAAGACAGTGACTGATATAGAGAAAAATCTCAACTTTAACTAATAAAATTAAAAATGCTACTACTGAGGCTAGTGAAGTAATCACCGAAAGAGAACAACTCTATAAACTGCCAACTCCGATTCGTTCTCTTATGAGACAACGGAATAGGCTTCCAAAAAGATATCACCTGACTTGGTCTCCTGAAATCAAACGTGAGATTAACCAACTCAGCAAAGAAATACAGAAATTAATCAAGCAACATAAAGAGGATTTGTGGCAAGAAAAAACGCTTAATTTAGATACAAAGGTGTGTGTGTGTGTGTGATTATGGCAAAGCCTCGAGGGCTATCTGCCTAAGAGGAGGGATGCCTTCATGGAGGACTTTCTAAGGGAAACTGGCTCGTATACACGTTGCACATGGGGAAAACCACGAAAACGCCCATGCAGCCAGCCCGTTCGCGGGATTCGAACCTCGGACCAAACTACCAGTGTTCAGCGACTTTACCGCTCGGCCGCTGGTGGGCTTAGATACAAAGGACGGAAAATTTTGCAACTTTATCAAAAACTTAAACACTACGTACTCTAGTAATCAGCACCTGCACTTTAAGAACAATATTCCTACTCAAAATCGCGAAAAAGCTGCTGTATTCGCTTCACATTTGGAGGAACAATTCTCGTCAAATGATTGGCCAGTGGATACTGAATTTGAAAAGAAAACACTGTTTAAAGTGAAGGATTGGTTAAACTCCCCCACTGCTAACAATTTAATGGAATTAACTACCCCTTCAGAAATCATGAATATTATCAAACAATTGAGAACTAAAAAGGCCTCAGGACTTGATGGTATTACGAACACTGCAATCAAGAATCTCCCAATTAATGT